AAGTAAAAGGTGGGTCCAACAATGTAAATACAAAGAAAATCATGAAAGGACTTGTCTTTTCCATGTTTTCATACAGTCCCTCAGTATCTGCCAGCTAATGTCCTATCTCTTTCATTTCTCTTACTCGGCCGGAATCTAACATAAAAACTCTCACCAGCTCAACCCGTCCGAACCCTCCGACTCCGAGTGTGACCGGTTCTCCTTGGTAGCGTCCTTCCTGGTACAGCACAGGAACCAGATCCTTAAACCTCATAGTGGAGACTGTGGGACTGAGGAAGACAGAAACATCTTAGCTAATTCGAACTATTTTTCATCTCAAGGAACTTATTTGTGAGATTTTTGTGATTGTGTTACATTTTCCATTCACAGTGACTCACTTTGACTTTTCTGGAACTTGTGCTTCCTGCAGCACTTTGGAGCTGGGAGTAAAAACCAAAGGAGAGTCAATATATTTTAATCTTAGCGAGATGGAGTGAAGGCTTGAAGTAATGATTTATGATACGTACTCATCAAACAGCTCCAGGTGTTCTATGGGAATTGTCTCCTCAAATACTCTGCAGTGACAAACACACAACATGAAACAAACACAGAGGACAAAGATACTGGAGGAATTTCCTTCAGGAATCTTTAACTGCAGCCATGAATAGAAACATCACCTTCATTTACATTCAGAGTTAATGTTAATCATTTGAAGTCACACTCACTCCTTGTCTATGGAGAAGCAGGTAACAGGGCCGTCGGCAGTGCAGGTGGCAGTTCTCAAAACTTCCCTGCAAAATGAAACACATTGCACGTCAAACAGGGAAATCAGTGATTACTACATATATCAGAATGAAAAAAGTGACTTTTAGCTAAGAAAACTCAAAATTTACATCTTAGATAAATAACATGTTACATGTGTAATGTTTTGTTTTCCTGCAACAAGTCTGTCGATCTTTTTGAATTAAATATAGCAGATTAAATAAAGAATATTATTAACAGTATTGACATCATTGATGTTAATATACGTGTATTCAGGAAAGCATTGCATATTTATTCATTAATATCTTTGCTGCACAAATCCACATCTGAATAATCATCTAATAAAACAAGATGCTGTCTTGACCCTGTCAGTGTCATCCTCATATAATCAAATCAATATGTACTTTACTCAATCACAGATTACAAACTGTATTTTAAAACATATGGAAGCAGCCAACCAGGGTGCACAGAGCGCTGGATGTTGCACAAGACAAATGTCCTGAGGCATGTGTTGTGTTGCCATGGTTACCGTATGAGGGCCTGTTCGCCGAAATGCTCCCCTTTCCCCATCCTGCGAATGTGCTTCTGAAGCCCATTCACGTTCTTAGTCACCAGGACCTGAGGGGGGGAGACACGCATGAGACGGAGGGAGGAGAGGACATGGAGGTCATACTTATATATTCAATGCACGCACACACACACACACACACACACACACACACACACACACAAAATGCTGTATTACCTCTCCTTTGAGGATAATGTAGAATGTGTTTGCCTCAGCTCCTTCTCGAACTATGACATCTTTGTCCTGGTACTTCACCTGAGAAACACATAAAAACACAAAAAATATGTGATCACCATAGGTAATCACATGCAAATAACAAACTGGAATAACTTTCTTATATTTAGCACAACT